TACCATCTTATAATTCTTCTGAACATAAATACAGCCCTATTCTGGTTCTGATTTAAATGTGCCCATCAGCAGAACTAAAACATGCACAGAATTGGTTACTACACATAGCATTAGACAAAAGACAGCAGTTTACAATAACCACTGAGTTCCCCTTACTTGCAGTGTGCTGTCACCACATGCTTTATTTATAGTAGGCCTGAAATAAATACTGCAGGATCAGCCATCTTTGGGGCTGCACAAAAAAGGAAAGCTATTAAATATTTACCGTAAGTCTCTCATAGCCTCGTCTCTGACACTTTCCCTTTCAGTAGAGAAAAGAATTATTTAGCTCATGATTTTCCAGCAAAAGACAGCCAATTGTGGCTGTCTGGAAGTGAAGGGTAGCATCACTGGCATGGCCTGGGAGGGGGAAGTTTTGTCAATGTGCACCAGGCACAGAAGTCTCCACCATCCACTGCTCCTCTCCAGCAGCACAGAGTGATGCCAAAGCAGAGCCTTAGAGTGACACAGGAATGTTTGTGCCAGCAGAATGAGGCACACTCATGTTACAGCACTTTCCAAAACTAAGCCAGTACATTTGGTGAATCATTTCCAAGGAGGCTGATCAGATTACTTGAGTTATGATCAAATGAATATTGTGGATGCTCCAGTGAAACATGTTGACAAATAATGCCACTCTCTTTTTGCATTTACTGTGCATTTAAAAAAGAAACCCATTTGTATGAAATAAAAATAGACTTTGCATGAATTTTGTTTTTCACTATGAACTGAATACTGCATGTCCCAATGTTTATGGCCTAGTACTTATGGGACAGACAGGCAGTTAAAGATGAACTTTGACTGGCCTAGAATTAAAATGCCTGAGGGCAGCTGCGTAGCTCAAGTAACTGATTAGAAACTGATACTGAAAAATGACTGAGAACTGCAGGAGGTCACAAAAAGACTAAAAGCAAAGCAATGTCTTTTTCCACCCTAATCCAGGCCATTTTAGAGTATGATCATAGCCTTCCAGAGCACGGTCCAGCAGAACCAGCACCAACCCCACCTCAGTACATCTAGAGCAATGCAGGTTTCTAAGGTATAAGCTGCATCTATAGAGGTATATAACACTTTAGAAGATCAGCCTGGTTTTCCTGAGTGCCTCATGGGAGTTTTGCTAAGTAACAGTGCACAGTGCCAAAGACACTTCTTCTCCTCTCACTCCTGCTCTTCAGCAAAAAATAATTCACTTCTTAGATGTACTTTGTCCCCTAAATTTAAGGAGGCAGTGCCAGTCTGGAGGGTCCCAGACATTCCCAGATCACTGGATCACAGGTCCCTTTCTCCAGGCATCATCCAAATACTTCAACTTCCTGGCACTTGACCCTCTGCATCTCTTAGCTTCCCAGAAGCAGCAAAGGGAAGCACACTGCAGGCTCTAGAAAAATAGGCAGCCAGACAATGCAGCTCAAGTCCCTAACACGTTGTGGCTGCCTGATCAAACCTCTGGCATATCTGGCGAGACTTCCAGTCTAATTTTGTGAGTTTATGTGAAAACATAGCATGGGTGAGGTGATAAGAACAATTTCAAGAGGGAGTTTAGGGAAGGAAGTTGCCAGAAAACACCTGACATCCACAAATTGCTGAACCCATGGCTGAAACATGAAGAACGCCACTCAGGCCAGCACTGACCATTCATAGAAGATCTGTGTTAGTGTGCCTTGAACAATGCAGTGCAATGCAATGTGCCTTGAATAATGGCTACTTCCATTAAAATTAATTAATACACAAAATCACACAATCCTATTGTTTAGGCAGGCAAGTATGAATGGGGGCTCATAACACTTCCCTTTTGTTCTATGATTGATGCCTTGCAGGTGGATGTCCTGCACAAGTGCTGACACCATGTACAGCTTTTCTTGACAGCCAAATTAAAACAATAACCAGTTCCCCACCCTGAACAAAGCCCACAGGGAATGAAGTGTTATAATAAAAGTGAGTAGCAGCAAACAGTCTAAAGTGTCAGGTAATAAACAATGCTCATGAAACCTTCATGGTCACAATCAATAAAGGGAAAGGCCATCGCACTTGAGAGCCAAGAACCATTAGAAAAATAAAAAGCTTTCTATCTCGGAGCATTTACATTGAGATTTCACATTCTACTGCTTCTTTCATGGCCTTATAGATTAAACAAGCAAGAACAGTTCTACTTCCAGCGCTGCAACAGCGAAACCAAGCCATAGATTGCCTGCTAAGGCATTCCATGACCTTGAAACATATTCTGTAGAGCCATATGAGTACTCCACATACATGTCCAATATCATCACAATTCAGAGCTTAAGTTTTCCTATTGCAATAGTCAATCTCCTAATGCACATGTGTCTTTCCCATTGGAAAGGACTTCCAGCGTTTCCAAACTTTTATACAAATAGGATAAACAAGCACTTCCATCTCTGTGCTCTTTATGGCAACTAGGGCTACTTTTCCATAGTAGTAGAACACTCTGCTCCAGTTTCATTGCTGCAAGCCACGTCTAAAAAAAGTCAAAGTGATCTCTTAGCACAGTCATTTTCCTGGTAACCATGTCCCAGGAGATTTTGCCTCTCTTCTGTCTTGTCCATATTTGGTTGGAAGTTACTGTCCTTTGTCACTGCTACCTTCTTTTCATGTTAACTGTTACTCCCTTCACCAATCCAATATTTGTAAATTTTTTTTTGCTTAAAAAAAAGGATATTGCATTGTAAATTTTGGGCAGGTGACTAAACTGACAATCTTTTTGTCCTTAGGTAAATTAACCCATTTGTGTCCAGGGGAAAAAAAATATTTTTTTAAGGCAAGAATAATGTAATTTCCTTATTATAGTGGAGATGCCTTTTGTTCAAGACATTGAATTGATGATAGGGTCCTATGTGTACACCAGTTGGCCAATATCACTTGCAGGGTTTAGCTTCTATTAATCTGAATTGTGCAAAGCAAAGCCAGCTTAATGCCTCTGACCACAAGTTTTTTGAATAGCCCCATGCCATCTAAGAAAAAAAAAAACATTAAAAAAATTGCTTTTCAATCTTTTTCATTTGGTTTTCCCAATGAGGCTGAATGGACAACCAAGGCGAACTAATAGCCACATCATAAGGCAACTGGAGAGGAGACTCCATTAATTGTATAAGTTCAGAGCAAAAACATGATCTGAGAAAGTGTTCATTTGCTAAAGAGAGCTGTTTCATGAACTATTTATGTTTACTAGTATTTAATTTTACTTTATGCCATTTTCCTTTTTTTTAAATGGATCGTAGTTCATCTGCATCTATTATCTATGCAAGCATATTTCAGTCTGTTGTAAACTCCATTAGTGTTTTCTTCAGTTGTTCTTTATCCATAAAACTTGAGTATCTGAATTATATATTACAGTTTTGGAACCAAGAGACAGGGCACACCTTAAAAAATGGAAGAAACAACAAACAGAGATGAAAGCAATTAATAAAGATACTTCCACTAGTTTTCTTTTTTTTTTTTTTAATGATGTGACCACCATTAGAATTGCTGGTGTTGTAATTTAGAGGTCAGCAAATTAAAGAGCACAATGATTACTCAAATGAAATATCCCTGGCAACACCTGATCACAATTACTGTTTTAAGTGACTTGTCTCTGCGATATGCATTGGGATAATCTGGGATAGTCATGAATTTTGGAAATCCTTCTTCTCTGTGTAAGAAGAGTTGGTTTGTAGCTTTAAACCATTTATGTGAGGCCATAGAGGCAGACACCAGAGAACTTTTTAGATTCAATATTCAGGAAAATTAATACCAAATGTGCAACAACCCAAAGCACAATAAGAAATGTTTTCTCTCAATGCAAAACCACAAAGGTTCAATAGAAAAGCAGACAGACATTCTAAAACAATCAGAAAGGATTTTTCTTAACTTCCAAATAAAAAATATTCAGAACAATCTAAATCTTTGTAAAAAAAAGATATCATGCATATATTTGTAATAACACTATCACTTAGAGTGAAAAAAAAGAAGCTGGAGTGGGTGATAGGATAAGAATTCTACTACATGCATCAAGATAGTGATTTTCTACTCTATCTGGAACACTCAAAGAAAAAGCAATGGAGGAGAATCAGCCACACATTTTGCATTATAGTACCCTGTCCTGTCTTGGAAACTTCATCTAAACTCCTTACTCTTTAGCTACTAGTCTGTTCCTAATTCTTTGGTATATTCTCAGACACTGTACTTCTACATTACAGTCTGCTTTCTGTACTTTGCCTACCCTGTACAACAATGATCTTCTTCACAATGCAATAAAATTAGCAGCACCTTCTCTTTCTATAATTATAGAGCTTTAAATATTAATGCATTTATTACAGAAATCCTCTGCACAAGGTTATCTAACTTGAGAACAAGTTTCCTTGGAAGCAACATTAGCCAGCAGAAGTTAAAAGACCTAATAACTACCTTCTTAATGGCAAGGCAACTTTTATCACATCTCTATGATAAAACCTGCCCTCTCCATGTTCTGCTGCCTCCCTTTCCTGCACTTGGGCTACACCTTTCTTATTCAGTCAGATGAAGAGCAGACTTTCAAACTCACAGGTGCCAGACCATTAGCACAAATTCTCCTGAGGTTCCTCCCATGCACTTATAACACCCGTTCTGTTTGTTTTCTCTAGAACAGTTGCTCATAAATTAGCCAAACTAAACTCTGTTTCCCACATGAGAATAACCGAAAGAAACCTCACTGCTGGATTCATTTAACAGAAGCTTGAATGGATATGAAATTACATCTGTATTCAAAAGGCGAAATCCCATACAGACACTCCACATAACCATTCTATTTCTATAGGAATCCATGCTGACTTCTACAAGAATCAGATCAGATTTTGGCTTTTCGTCTCCTATCTGTGCCATGAGCACCACAAATATATCTAACTGCCAGGCATAAAAAATTTGCAACCTTCAGTCACAAGTTTCATAGGTTGTCCGTAGTCATGCAAAGAGTTTAAGTTACACCAACATACTTCTGCAGAGTGAGGCTCAGGTTGTGGCTGGCTGATTTGATCTTGTTCTGGGCCTCCAGGTGGGTCATGCTGTCAGTGTTGACTCCATCAATGGCCACGACAAGGTCCCCCTGGTTCATCTGTGACTGTGCTGCCTTGCTGCCAGGGGTGATCTGTGTGGGAGAAGACAAAAGAAGAAGTCTTATCATGATAAATCATTCTGTATCCAAAACAGTTGAAGAACTCACCCAGAATTATAGTACAGAATAGGTACATCAAAAAATACTCTAATAGATACAACAATAGTTTGTACCCATTATTGTATGGGTAGAAAATGAAACCTTAAAGAAATTAAACAAATCAAAATTAACTCACACTTCTGCAAAACTCTAGGACACCATCTACTTGTTGTTACTTCCATTTTGAGAGGTTAAGCCCAATGTAGTGGTTCCCCTACCACCTATTATCACTATCTCAAGGGGATAATTATATTATACAGCAGCAGTTATAGATGTTACTCGGAAGCAGAAAACTAAGGAACCACTATCCACTGCATGATTTTATCATATTTTTCCTCCTGAAAGTCATTTTCACCAAATTAATTCATTTTACTGAGGGGATGGAAAATGAATGCATGTGAGTGGCCTTGGGCACACTTTGTTTCTTTCATAGCAAGCTTTAAGGAAATTATTCTGCTTAACCTTACCTATATAGAACTGCAGCTCCACTACCAACACAGATTGCTACATACCCATCTCATCAACCTGTTGGACCTCACACTCCAAAGACCAGCACTCTCAGAAGTAAAAAGCCACAGTGCTGCAACCACAAACCCAACAACTGACACAATTCAGAAGTTCTGTTTGTTCACTGTGGCAACACATTTTGTTAGCTCCAGTTAGCTTGTGAATTGCATCTTCTCTGAATCGACAGTAGTACCCTGATCTCAATTTTACATAGCCCTATCACTTTGATATGAATGACACCAGTAGAGTACTAAACCAGAAAAGCCTTCACATACCATCAGCAAGACAAATTTTAATGGACACATCAGAGATGTCCTCTGCTTTCAGCACCCAGTACATAGACAGCATGGATATAAGCTATAGGTCTTTGCTATTAGAGACTCACTTCCTTACATTCCTCACTAAAACACCCAAGCATAATCTAAATTACTACAACAAAGTCTGCATTCAAAGATTCTGTTCGTTCAGTACAGTGAACATAAAAGAAAAATGTGTTTGATTATGAGCCAAAAAGTTCCCTGTGAATTCAGCCAGGCTGAAACCATGGAGTTAAATTTCTAGGGAAACCAAAAACCAACACAAATTCAAACACTCGTGCTAAGTGAAATCCCTTAACTTGCCATCCTTAATACGACCGTCAAAACACTTATGAATATACACATACTCAAAAAAAACCTCCTTCGAAAACAATTTCCTAGACTGTTTGTGAATTTTACTGGCAAAGACGAATAAGCAAAAAAAGGAAAAAATCCTTTATTAAAATGCTGTTAAAGGTGCTCAGTATTGAGGCCAACTGACAGTGTAGTCTGACAGTGGGAGGTGTCACTTTACTAGAACACTAGCTCTAGTATCAGAGTGCTAGAACACACAGCACCCTGGATACTCAGACTACTTAAAAGTAAAGATTAATTTGGAATTTGTAATTCCCAGAACTGATTTGACTGGAAGAGACAAGTTTTAATATCTTTTCATTTGAGATAGAAGCAATGAGTTCTGCCTTTTCTGAGTGAAGGACAGCCACAGATAAAATGTTCTCATGCAAGTAGAGTTGACTGATAAGGGCAGTACTGTTTTCCAGTGTATTTTCCTTGTGTTAAGGAATAGAGGGATGGGGGAAATATTTTGTGGTAGTTTCAAAGATAAGAGTTTTATTCTGCAGTCTAATGCACCCTCACAAGAAAAAAAAAACCCACCCAAAACCAGACTGGTGTTACAAGCATAGTTTTCCTAACCTGTTACACAAACATTAGCTTCTATGCATTTTATTGACTTCCATTGTGCCAAGTGCACAGAATTCAGAAGCCCATAAAGAATATGGATTATTTGTACACCCTCGTGTACTTATACAGTTACTTAAAGATCCTTCCCTGCTCAGTCCCACAAATATGTTGAGGAACAGAATTTGCAATAGAATAAAGGGTAAAGAAAGGGAAAAAAGCAAACCAAAGCCAAACTCAGACAAACGAGTCAGTAAGACTTGAATTCATCAAGCAGGACACTTCAGTCTTTTTCAAATTATCCTTTTTTAAATAAATAATCTTCACACATCACCCTTCTAAAGGCACCACTTTTAACCTCCTGATGAAACACACAAGTTCTTGCCACAGACTATTAACTGTGCAATGCTGGTTCCAAATTCTGTGCCACTCTCCTCCACATACACCTTTTTCTTGTCAGAATCAGATTGGTTTTTGAACATCAACCCAGTTTCTGAAAGCCAAACATCTGCCCTAATTTGAGTATTCTTACTCAACACATCTGTCTCTCCTTCCACTCCCCAGTGATGCCTCAAAGAAAATAAGCCCAGAGAAGCAGAGCTTCCACAGACAGGATAACGAACTCTAGATTGGGGGCTAGTTTAACACAGCTCAGACACACTGGCTTATCTCTAACTTTTTTTGACTTCTGCTTTTAACAGCCCCACATGTAAATGCTATACCTTAAAATAAAGACACAGCAACTACAACCCTCCTAGAATTATAGTCAACTTAGATGGAGGGGATGGTTGTAATGAGTGACCTAAATTCACTTCTTCTAATGGAATATTTTCTGCCTAATACTTTTAGAAAACACGACCTAAATGAAAAAACATTCATCTCAAGACTCTCTCAAACAGTCCTCAGTAACTCTGAATTTGTGATTTACAATGACTTTCTAACTTTACAACACTGGTTCTGAGGCAAAGATCTCCAGGAGAACCATACTCCTGAAAGACAGGGAAACAGCCTCAGTCATGGCTCAGTCAGTCATTATTTAAAAAGAAAAGGAAAGGGGTTCAGCTTCTTCAACTAAGTATAAGAGTAGAAAATTCTGTGTGTGATTCTTTCATACGATTATATTTTTTCAATTCTGATTTCAGGGGACAGCATTCCACTGATGTCACTTTACCTCTTAAAATCAGCTTATCCTTACTTCACAGACAGCAAGATTCACAAGTATAAAAGATGGATCTAATTTATTGTATCTGCAATTCAGACAAGTAATAAGTATCAGGAAAGAATTACTTCTTCTCATGGTCTTCCCACTGGTTAAAAGCATACTAGATTATTTGGTCCTGTAGAATTTTATACAGAAGGCATTATTTAAGACTGGATGCATAATCTGTGCCATGTTTCTGTATGAAACATGAAAATCAAAGTACAAAATTATATGTATTTTAGTTAGAACCCAAGAGACATCTCTAGAGATAAGAGAGAGTTCCAAGTGAAGTCACAGCATACATTTCCAGCAGACATTGAGAACAGTCAGTAATTGTTGTGAACAAAATACCAGTGTACAGATGGAGATAGAGGGCAGACAGATCTGAAGTGTCAAGGCACATTCAAGGCTATCTTGTTCCCATTTCTAAAGATCCAGCTGAAAGGAACGGAATGCAAAGAGTTTATCTTTTATCTGTTGGTATTTTCCTTGGAAAATTCATCTCTGATCTACTAAAACATTTACTAAATATAATCACAAACAGAGAAGAGCTCACTGTGTCTTTGTAAAATCTTTGGTAAATATTTTCTATTTAAAAATATTTTTGGAAAATATTTTTGAAGGACAAATGTTAATGAAACCTTAGAAATAGACTGGAAATACAGATCTGTCTACACAGCAAATTCTACTTTGCTCTTATCTCAGCCCCTCTTCTATTAACAGAAGTAACAAATTTAGAGAAATATGTTACTGCCAAGGATAAATATGCATTTTTCTATTTGACCACAATTCTTCTTTTTTCCTAAAACAAGTCTCTGGGCAAGTTCTAGACAGAATTATTTGAGAAAACCTTTGTAATAGCCTTAACTCACTTGCTGTGGATTACAACATCACTTTCAGTTGCTAGGTGCTGCAAATGCCTTTATTTAGTGCTACAGTGAGAAGTTCATCAGAGTTTCAGGGTACAGCTATTTCTGTCAATTAATTTACAAAATCCAATCCAGGGTACCACCAAAAGATCTAATTTTAATAGTAGTTCTTTAGTGCCTCAAGCCCAAGCACAGATTTCATCTTGAAAAGCCAAACATCTCACCTCTCTCAGAACAGCAGAGGAATATGTGCTGCTTCAGAGATGTGAATTTTCAGCCCTCACAAATTTCCTACAAGACAGACATCTGACTTCCAACATCCCCAGCTTAAGGCAAGTTGGCAAGGCTGGAAGTATCACATGTTACTTTCAACACACTACAGAGAATTCTTACTACACTCTGTTGTGAGCAGATCTGTACACTGGGTGAATATATAGTACCACAGTGACAGCTGTGCCCTAAAAAAACTCATCTGCACTGGGTTCACAGTAAATACTACTTAGCAGGAGCTCTGGGAGGCAGCGTACAAAGAGCAGCTGCTGCAACACCTTGAGAACAGCACATGTTGCCAGCCAAGTCCCCTGATCTCCACTCCAAAGCGAAGAGATAGGGATCAGGCAGCATTTCAGTGGATGAGTGTTTAAATACTAACGAGAATGCTTGTATAAACAGATGGATGGACACAGTTTTCCTACCCTCAAGGAACTCCTAATTTACAAGGCAGACAAAAATACATAGGGAGGCCTACACAAATGAGAAGCTGTTAATATAGCCTGCAGCATTAGCTGGGGCCTCTTCTTTTTTCAGCACTTAAGCTATGCCTGACTCCATCCTGACATCAACCCCCATATCAACAATTTATATTTTCTGCTTCTTATTTAGGAATGTCATTTCACAGAATCAGATATTCACTAACACCAGAAATGCACAAAAGCACAGGGAATGAATACCGTCTCTTCTTGAAGATCTCTGGAACAGAAGAAATAATTAAAAGGAAATTTTCTTTTCCATAATCAGAAAATCAGAGACACTATGATATGTTCTTACACGAAAAGGATTGGACAGAGACTAAGAAACACTAGAAGACACAATATGTTTCCTCTCTAGAGAAAAGAGCATTTAAATCTCCCTCCATCACAT